TGTCTGTCTCCTGCCCTGTGCTCGGAGCTGGTTCTTGGTGGGTGCCACCCCCCCAGGCCCTGCTCTGGGGAGAGGGTTTTGCTTTTGTGGCTGCCAGGGATTCGGCGTGGGCGGCTCTTCGTCCTGGGATGTCTCGCGTGGGTCCAGCTCGGGGCACAAGGGAGGAAGAAAAGCCCGATACAGTCACGGCTCATGGACCCTCAAAAGGGGTCACCCCCAACCTGTCTCTTCCAGGCTCAGTCTTCCCTTTAGAAACTGTCCCCTGCAGATGACGCGCTGATTTCTGTCCCACGCGCAGCCCCTGTGAGAGGTTAACCCTGTCTCATCTGCCCCCCGCCCCCAGGTATGTGCAGCAGCTGAAGAAAGATGGCTTCCACGTGAACGAGCTCTTCCAGAAGTGCCTTTTTGAGGAAGATGAGAAGGAGAAGGTGCTGAGTGCCATCAGGATTGTCAGCCCCAAGTACCAGCTGCCCCGTCTACCCAGCCCCGAGACCTGCAAGTCTTCTCTGCTCCAGGACTTCTACTCCAGAGTAAGCTCAGGGGTGTCCCTGCGGCTCGAGGGGGTGTTGGCGCTGGCCGGAGGGTGTTCACCGGTGTCCTCGGCTCCAGGCAGGGCTGCAGTGTTTTAGCCCCATCTCTGCTGTAGCCCCGGTGAATTCCCAAAGGAGTAGCCTCACCAACAGCCTGACAGGAACCTTCCAGTGCCTGGGGGGGCTACAGGAAAGCTGGGGGGGGGGCTTTTTCCAAGGGCAGGGAGTGACAGGACAAGGGGTGACGGGTTTAAATGGACAGAGGGAGATGGGACACGGGGAAGGAATTCTTCCCGCAGAGGGTGGGAGCACTGGGCCAGGTTCCCAGAGAAGCTGTGGATGCCCCATCCCTGGGAGTGTCCAAGGCCAGGCTGGATGAGGCTTGGAGCAACCTGGGCTATGGAAGGTGTCCCTACCCATGGCAGGGGGTGGTGGGACTGGGGGGGTTTTAAGGTCCCTTCCCACCCAAACCATTCCATGATGCTATGAACAGATTAGCTGGAGGTGACCTCTGTGCGCTGGAGGGGGGCGCTTGGGGGGATGTTGACGCAGACACCGAGCAGCCCCTGCAGAACCCTGTCACTGCAGTCACCTGGGGTTTGCGAGCACCGACCCC